GCGTCGCGCTTCTCATCCTCGGCGTTCATGGTCATGAAGCGCAGCACCACGAGATTGAGGAAGGCGCCGATCACCGTGAGGCCTGTGAGGATGTAGACGAAGCTGAAGGCCACGTACTGCGGCTGCGTCTGCAGCGCCTGGTCCTTCTGAAGCGCCACATAGTCGCCGAAGCCGATGGTGGTCAGCGTGATGAAGCAGTAGTAGTAGGCCTGGAAGAAGGTCCAGTGCTCGTAGTAGGAGAAGGCGGCAGCGCCAATGCATAGTGTGCTGATGCACGAGAAGAAGCCGATGAGCACCATGTTGGCCATGGACACGTCGGCGCGCCGCATGCCCAGCCCCCTCTTGGCGCGGTGCAGCAGGTACTTCACGAAGGTGTTGATGCGCTCGCCCAGGCTCTGGAACATGACCAGCGTGAGTGGGATGCCCAGCAGCGCGTAGAACATGCAGAACACCTTGCCGCCATCCGTGCTGGGCGCTGCGTGGCCATAGCCTGCGGGAAAGCGGGGGAAGACGAGAGAAAGCACACACTATGGGACTGCCCTTCCAGAAACCTTCCTCCCTTCGCCTGTCTCTGCCCTTCGCCTCCCCCACCTTGTAGAGTCTGGCCTCTTCTTCCGCCTAGTCAAGAAAAGACAACACACTTGTCCCCACGCGCTGTGCTAGCTCCTGATTCTCGGTTACTCTCGTGATGATTCAATGGGGTAGGTAGAAGGAGGAAACAGGGAGGATTAAGTGATTTCCCCCAAGGTCACACTGCTTTGAAGCAGCACAACCTGTTATTTGAACTGTTTGGCTTCCAAGTCCTGACCCGTTTTCTCTACCTAGAGAAGGAGCTGACCCGTGGGGCTGTTGGGAACCTTGTCCAGGGACAGAGAGATGGTATGAAGGGTACTAGCAAATCAGTTGGGAGACCTGGTTCTAGTTCAGTGTCTGTGGGCTTTAGACCAGTTCCTTGTCCTTTCTGGGCCTCAGTTTCCTTGATTCTAAGGGGAGAAGGTTGGACTGTATCGGTCCTGACATCCTGTGATTCAGTGTGGAGGGAGGGAAACTGAGGCACGGATGGCTCCTTGATGACTTCCCTGTTGTTAGCCAAAGCAGCTGGGGCTCCCCAGTCTCCCTGAGGCAGCTGGACCCACCAGTATCAGCAGAGAAAGGAGACAGCACCTCACCCCCACCCCATGGCTGGATGAATTAGTGCTCCAGGGTCCTCATCAGTCTGGGTCTAGGGATCACCCTCTGTGCCTGGTCCCAAAGTAAGGTCTGTCCTTGTGGGGAGGTGGCATTGCCCTTGTCAAAGCAGGAGCTCTGGGTGTCCTTCTAGGTGTTACTGTCTCCAGCCAGACAACCCCAAACCCTATCTCCGCCCGCCCCCCACTCCCCCAAGCCAGGAGACAGGCAAAGGCAAAGCCCCCTTCTGAGCCAACCATCAAATGGCCTTAAGTCACAAGTTCTGCCTGGAGCCCCGGAGGGGAAAGAATGCTGGATGGGAACTCAGAAGCCAGAGGCACAAGTTCTGGCTGTGTCACTAGTGGCTGTGTAACCTTAGGCAAATTAGTCTCCCTCTCTGAGCATGTTTTCTCATTTGTAAAACGAGTTCTGGTCCTGGCCCTGTTTTCTTCACTGGGCTGTTAAGATATTTATTACTTTCATTAGTAGGATTCTTATAATAAAATAATGCTGGCAGGCTTTCCAATTTTTCCTCCTTTCTAAGCCTTATCAAAACTTAACCAAATGCTGCTGCTTTCATGCTGTCATCCTGGATTCTTCACAGTGGGAAGTGATCTCTGCTTTGTGTGGCACTGAGAATGTTCACCATGGACTCTGGGGCCAAAATTACCATCCCCCCCTGCTCCATCCCCCAGGGTCCCCAACTACATATGTACAGATAAACACCAGGTTGGGGTGATGGGGTGGACACTGCTGGACCTTGTCATGTTCCTCTCTAGTTACCCTCTCCACATTGCCAGCCATGCCCATGGAGTATGCCCAAAGCACGTTTGGTGACTGAATGGCAGGGCAGGATACTCTGTGCTTTGGTGTCTGATCTGAATTCAAATCCTGACTCTGCCATGGACTGTGTGTGTGTTTTTAAACCTCTCTAAGCCTTAGTTTCCACATCTGTAAAACGGGGTTAATAAGTAGCACCTGCCTCACAGGGCTTTTTGAGGAGAAATAAGTGAGATAATGTGTTTAATGCACTTAGCCTAGAGCCTGGTACATATCAAGTGCTCAATAACAGCTCATTATGATGAGTAATGAATGAAGTGCCTGCTTGTTCTCATGTTTCCAAGAGAGCACCTGGGCTGAGGGGCAGCTCAGTTCTAGTAAAGCTGGCATCTCTGTCAGCCTAAGGCCATTTGAATCTTAAAGCTCAGGGAGGTCTGGGGACAGCTTCTTGGGGTGTGTGAGGCTGTGGGCTGCCCTGAGAATGAGTTCCCCTGGCCCCCATCACAGCATCCAGCTGGTGACTGTGCCAGGGGCCTGGACAGCTGAGCTGGTGAGCCTCCGTGCCTGGCCCTTCCATGCCTCAGCAGGGTGAGAACAGATAGTGCTCGCCAGCTCAGCCATGGCAGCCAGACCACAACTCACCTCGACAGCTGGGCAGGCTCTGAGCCAGAGCTGCTGCTCATCCTGTCCTTCCCTGTCCCCCACGCCAGCACCACACAGGATGTGGGGGAGGGCATGGCACTGTGGATAGGGCTGGACAGGGATTGGGTGGCATGGACCCCGTGTGCGGCCCCAGCTTGACCTCATGCTGGCTGTGTGACCCTGGGCAAATCCATTCCCCTCTCTCCACCTCTCTTGCCTCGTCTGCACTCTGGGAGGTTCAACTACAGCTGTTAATCCTACTTGGCTGCCTGCCAGAGCTGCCTTCAGGGGTAAAAGAGAGACTGGATGTGAAAGTACCTCAGAACCTGTGCAGTTTGTGACAGTAGCAGTGGTGACAGAAGCAGCGGTGATGGGATCTCATAGGGGAAAGTTGGCCTGAGAGTGTAGTCCTGGGGGGCAGGAGCAATCTCTGTGTGGTCAGGCAGTCATATCCCATCATCAGGGAAAAGAACCCTCTCTCACCACCACCACCACCTCGACCCATGTTTGTTTATAGGCGGTGACTTCTGGCCCACCATCCTTTAGGAAGACCAAGTGCCCACCTGCATAACAGCCTCACTGCCCATTGTGGGCTGCCCATAAAGCCCCCCAGCTGCAGGGGTCTCTCCCCAATCTGAATACAGCGCATGTCCCAGCAGACGTGATGGCCACCTTCCCCCCTCACAATGACCTCCTCCCTGCCTCTGTCTGCCCAGATCCTGAGTGCCCTGAGGCTTCCCCTTTCTCCCAGCCAGAAGTGACAGCTCTTTTTCGTCTGTCTCCTGTTGAATTCAGCGATTTTCAAAGCAAGTGGCACGTCGAGGCTCATGCCCCACTACAGCCACTGTCCTGTCCAGGGTGGCCCCAACCTGGATGTGCCTTACCCTTGGGGTCAGATGTCCCCCCCAGGGCTCACCCTCACTTCCTATCACAGGCTGAGGCGTAAGGTCTTATCCTTCAGGTACATTTTTAACTTTAATCTTCAAAAACTTCCTACGAGGTCATTATTATGACTATATTTAGAGTACCGAAGGCTGGAGCGCCTTATTGGCCAAGGCCGCTAGGACTTTTTGACTCATTGCTTATTCTAATGTCTCAGAGCCGATTTATTGCTCAGGAAAGGTGACCAGAATGGGAAACTGAGGCCCCAAGAGGGGAGCATTTCCCTTGGAGCCTCATCCTGAGCTGGACATAGCAGAAGTGGCAACAGGGGTGCAATGCCCAGGGACTCATGCTTCTCCAAGTACAGGGCCCAGGGTCAGCATGCTCCTGCCCCTTCGCCTGTTCCATTGTCACTAGGTGAAAGGACAAGGGAGCTGCAAGGACCTGCTGACGTGGGTGCCCAGTGTGGAGAGGTGCCAGCTGGGGTGGAGCCATTCCCAGGGGACCCTGGAACTTCTGGGAAGTAATTGGGAGTTTGGTAAGGCCTGTCTGCCTGCCAGCAGGCCTGCTGCCTGCCTGGTCTGTGCCCACGTCAGGCTTGGGCTTATGAGGGCGAGGGGGGCAAAAGGTAGTCCCCATCTTATCCCTTCTGTCCTTCCCTGTGTTTCTGGGTGAGGGGCTCCACGCGTCCTTGTGTGTCACTGATACATGCAAAGGTTGTCCTCAGGGGCTGATTCTATGAGGACCTCCTCACAGTATTCGATAGACCAGTCAGAACTCATGCCCCAACCATGAGACTTGAGCTGCTGCCTCTCAGAGCGCTAACCAGGGCTGTCCCTGCCCCTCCTCTCCCAGCCACCCTGTCTGAATCCACTAAAGACTTCAAGGTTCTCAGAGCCAGACAGGCCCTTAGTGATCATATGGCCTCATCCTTATATTGTACAGATGAGAAAATGGAGGCCCAGAGAGGGAAAGTGAACTTCTCAAGGTCACCCAGCTAGTGAATGGCAGAGCCAGGACTGTATAACCCAGGATACTCAGTTCCAAACCCAATGCTTTATTCTCTGCCCTCTGGCTCAGTATGACCAAGGTTGACCTGTTCATCCAACCAGGCCCCAGCAGTTCCTGAGTGGGAGCCTCTCAGCTAAGTGATAGCCCTGGAACCTGGCTGGAGGCATGGAATCCACCTGAGGAAGCCAGGTGGTTGGACATAAAAATTAATTACGTGGTTGGTCATAAATATTAATTACAAATATTTTGGGGCAACAGGAAAAATGAGAATTGAGGTGGGAATCTTGGGTGTCAATTCTTCTAGTCTCCTCCTGGCATTACCAAAGGGCTTAGAAACTGGCTGAAACTCTGCCTTCTAGGGACCTGCAGAGGGTTGGGTGTCCAGCCGTACCTCTTCGTGGACTTTCTCTCCCTGTAGTCTATTTCCTTCTAGTCAAAACACAAGTAGCCAGTCTTAGCCCTTGGTAATGGCCTTGGTTGGACTGGGCTCAGCCGTGCGCTCCCTACTGACCTCACATGCCCGCCAGCCTGAGTGCCTGACCCTGGTCTAGACGGCCACAAAACCACAGCCTTGGGTGGAGGAAAGCGCATGGGACTAGGAGGCAGGAGATCGGGGGGTCTGACGTGGCCCTTGCTTTAATCAGCTTTGGGCCTTTGGCCAGTCCTGTCCCCTCTCTGGGCCTCAATCTTCCTCATCTGTAACATGGGAGGATAGGGCAAGATAAAAGGTTCCTACTTTTTTTCCTTGCTATGGATGCCTTTTATTATTTCTTTTCTGCTCACCCACCCTTTCATAGAGCCTACATTTTGAAAGATTTTATTCATGAAGTACAATACGTTGATCAGAACAGTGTCGCTACCACATAGGACATGCACTGAATAGAGAATTGTGACAGCAATAATTAGTTATTTTCCCATCAAAGTTAATTATGAACACATCTGCCAATCACAACTTCTGATTAGCATGGGATAACTGATGCTATGGGACTAGATTAAGTTATTGTTATG